TGTACGGCGGCGCCGTGAAGAAGAAGTGGGCGGTGAACTCGGCGTTCATGGCGCTCTACGCCTTCGCGTGCGTGCTCGTCTGCTGGGTCGGGTGGGGCTACCGCCTCTCCTTCGGCGACAAGCTGATCCCGATATGGGGCAAGATCAACGTGGCGCTCACCGAGCACTACCTCCTCGAGCAGGCCTTCTCCGGCAAGTTTCCCAACGCCACCATGGTGTTCTTCCAGTTCGTGTTCGCCGCCATCACGCTGATACTCATCGCCGGCGCCGTTTTGGGGAGGATGAACTTCTACGCGTGGATGCTTTTTGTTCCTCTCTGGCTCACGTTCTCGTACACCATCGGAGCGTACACTATCTGGTCCACCGGAGGATGGCTCGCCACCGCCGGAATGATTGACTACTCCGGCGGATACGTCATCCATCTCTCCTCTGGAGTCGCCGGTTTCACCGCTGCATACTGGGTACGTTGTTGAAAATTGCAATTTTGGTCCTCTTTGTTGGTCTATTTATGGATTTAGTCCTTTAAGTTATATTTTTCCAATTTTTGATGCAATAACTTTGCAAAAATACTATATTTGGTCCTATTTTGCATGATTTTTTATTTTTTATTTTAGGATGTGACGGCAAATAATCTTAGACGGATTTTATATATGTGGACGCTTGAAAATTATAAATTCGACATATAACTCACCCTTGATAGAATTTTGATTATGTGAAAAGATGTTTTATATATGAACTAAGTTAGATGAGCATTTGTAATTTAATTTTACGCATCTATATAAATAAATTTTAGCAAGTTTGTTAGCTAAATCACTAAATTAACGGGTAAATTTTGAAAATCGAGTGAAATATGACCAAAAAAGCTAATTTTGTGCACTTATTGCATGTAAAATTTAAATATGACAACTTAAACGACATAGATGTCAGATGATACAAAAATTACAGGTCCCCATTTTTTTGTAATGTAGGTGGGCCCTCGTTTAACGAAGGATAGGGAAAGGTTTTCCTCCGAACAACATCTTACTAATGTTGGCCGGAGCGGGGTTGCTTTGGATGGGGTGGACCGGATTCAACGGTGGAGATCCTTACGCTGCTAACATTGATGCATCATTGGCCGTTCTCAACACTCATGTGTGTGCTGCTACTAGTTTGCTGACGTGGCTTATACTCGACATCGTATTTTTCGGGAAAGCTTCCGTCATTGGAGCCGTTCAAGGCATGATCACCGGCCTAGTTTGCATCACACCGGCAGCAGGTATATTTTTATTTTTCCAAGTTCAGTTATCATGCACTCTTGCAGTTTTTATATTGGTGTATATTGGAACCGAATTTTCGAATTCCACCGATTTCGACACAAATATTTCCAATATCGGAGTCATATTTTATATATGAATTTTGAAAGCTCCGATTTTTCCGATTTCTTTTACACAAAATTGGAATATATCCATTTTTTAATCACCGCACCTAAAATATAAACTACATAATAATATTGGTTTATAAGTTCATAGTTATTTTGCAAAAAATCCGAATGTTTTCCCCTAGAATTAAACTTATAAACCAATATTATTATGTAGTTTATATTTTAGGTGCGGTGATTAAAAAATGGAAATTTATATCCAAAAAGTTTCGATTTTGGAACAAAGTTTTTTTTCATTCCAATGCCCAAAAATCTTATTTAATTTCCGAATTTTGCAATTAAATAAATATAAGTTGTCTTTCTTGATTGTAGGAGTTGTACACGGTTGGGCGGCGATAATAATGGGCATATGCTCGGGTTCGATCCCATGGTTCACCATGATGGTGGTTCACAAGAAATCGGTGATCCTCCAAAAAGTAGACGACACAATGGCCGTTTTCCACACCCACGCAGTGGCCGGAACCCTAGGCGGCCTCCTAACCGGCCTATTCGCTAACCCTAAATTGTGCAATTTGTTCTACGGAAAATACGGTCAATACGTTGGCTTATTCTACGGCTTCCAAATGGGGGAGTACCACAACGGATTCAGACAAATCGGGCTTCAACTAATCGGCGTGGTCTTTATTGTTAGTGTTAATATCGTCACGACGAGTTTAGTGTGTCTTGCAGTGAGATTCATTGTGCCTCTGAGAATGACCGAGGAGGATATGGAGATCGGAGATGAAGCTGCGCACGGAGAGGAAGCGTATGCTATTTGGGGACAGGGCGATAGAAACGAGAACTCTCGTTTTTCGACTTATAACGATGTCGAAATAAATGGATCATCCAAGGCTAAAGGGCATGTTGAGATGACATGATAGTAAACATATGTGTTTATTTTGGTCAAATTGATGCTTCTTAACATTGAAACAAATAAAGCATGTTGCCTTTGATTTTATTTTCAATTACAAATTTGATTGTCACATGCAAACTTCCAATTAATAAACTTTCGCATTAATTAATATTTTCAATTCAAATATATATATTTTTACTAATTTAATAAATATATTTTAATGCATTAACAACTATTTTTTTTTTTTTTTCCTTAATTTTTAGAACTATCACATTTCTATTAGAATAGCACAAATATAAAAATCGAAAAAGAAAAAGAACAAATATAAGCAAACTCACACCTTAAGGCTAAAATTGTCAATTTGCAACTCAAGTAATATTGTAATGTAAGGAGGGGCAATAAAGTAATTTCACCCAGCAAAATAAAGAAAAAGAAAAATGAAAAATCAAACGGTGCCGTTTTAGTCTAGGTTTTTTCACACAAACATAGACGCTCTTTTGTCGACACGGTTCTGTGGAGAAGAGCTGTTCTTCGAGCTGCATCGTTTCTCAGGTGAGCTCAGCGCTTTAATTTTCTTCAATTATTTCTTCAAAATTGTTTGTTCACACTGTAATCATTTGTATTGCGGTTTTTCCCTTTGAATTTATCTCTGTTTGCTGGGTGTTAATGAGTTTTTTCACGGTAATTGCTTCTTCTCTTTTTCTTCCCTTCACAAATCTATGCTGATGCAGTTGTTTGGCGATTATAGAGCTGATTTGAAAGAATTCCGTGTTTCGTGGGGGAAAAATCTTTTGTTAGGGTTTAGGGTTTCGGGTATTTTTCAGGGTTTGTAGCTGTTCACTAGAATTTCGTATGTGTCTGCCATTTTGATTATTGATTTTTTTTGGTTAATGTTTTCTCACTGCATTGGGTTATATTTGTTAGGGTTGCTATTTTCCCTTTTGATTTGGTCCAATTTGAATCTTAATACAGCATCATGAATTTTACCTCTGCGCTTTCTTGGATCTGATAATGTTGAAACTGTTATTTACCATGTGCTTATTCGAGATTTTTTTGATAACTACAGCAAAAATTGCCTGTGAATCTACTTATGCTGCCTTTTGATTTGACAGTCGCATAAGTTAATGATGTTATTGTGAGCTAGTGAAGTTGAACGATGGAGAAAGTGAATAAGAGGAAACTGCTAGTGTTTTTGGATGTCTCGGTTGATGGAGATCCGTTTGAGAGAATGATTTTTGAGGTATCGTGTTCTTCTATAATGCATCGATTTGCTTGTTGTACCTTCTAAAAAATTTAACTTCGTTCTCAATATATTGTTGAACTAAAACATATGTTGTGACTATAATCCGTTCCCGCATTGCAGCTCTTCACTGATGTTGCTCCCAAGACTGCTGAAAACTTCCGTGCACTTTGTACTGGTAAGTCTGTTCTGCTTTCCATTTGCAGATGTGTCACCCTAACATTCTATTTATGTGGTCTTACTAATTTCTTCAGTTTCTGTAGCTTCTTTATCTTTTTTTCCTTTCATGAACCTTTCACGATTGGTAGCATTCGAACAAGTTTGAAGGCGGTCTACAGAATACTGAGGCTTCTGTGAATGGCAATTTTTTTTGGCCTTGTCGTCATACAATAGGCTAATAAGTTCTATTCGGAAATATTGTACTTAATATTTCAAAACTTGATGAGTCCAATCCCTTTTGCCGTGTCATATATTCGATCATCTTCACCTCATCTTTAATTTGCCCATTTCTTCAGGAGAAAAAGGTGTCAGCGTTAAAACTGGGAAGCCACTACACTATAAAGGGACCTTTTTCCATCGCATTATCAAAGGATATTTGGCTCAGGTATGTTTTTTACTTTTTCATTTTTCTCAATTAAATGCCAGAAAATATTAATTAAATATGATTAATTTGCTCTGTCCCCTGGGTTGGTTGAGCATAAATGAGATGTGGTCTATGCCTTTTAGTCAGCTATATCCTTGTTTATCTGTTGACAGGGCTGATGGTCACGACTACATTTCATGTGATTAGTCTTAAGGTTGTGCTTACAGAGCTGTCCATTCTTATGATTTACTGAATGTTGGTGTAAATAGCCTAAATTTCAATATCGTTGTAATGAATACTGGTTTACAGCGTTTTTTATTTTTCTGCAGGGAGGGGACTTTCTGAGGCAAGATGGTATGTTGTGAGGATATTACTATTACAATGAACCTGTGTTCTCTTTTGGAATGATTTAGTAAAGTAAGTTTTTAATTTTACAGGTACATGTGGAGAAAATATATATGGTGGAAAATTTCCAGGTAAGAAGCTTTTCTTAGTTCCACTTTTATTTACTATTTTAGCTGATCATCTGGTTAGAACTGATAATCACCCACATAAATTCGAAATTTGTTTATATCTGAAGACATAAAAAACTTCAATCTATATGATAAGATTAATACTGAAGTACACAAAGTTGTATGATCTGCTTTTGATGCTCCGAATTGATGTTATGTATTGAGATAGATATGCCTTGTTTAATCAGAGACCTAGAACAATTTATTTGAATGGTTCTGCTGTTGCTGGTTGGATTTGTCCCATTGATTTTCTCCTGTTCTATGTTATTAGCTGCCCAACAGCCTACCAGGAGATGGTACGGGAAGCTTATGTACAAATTTTATTGCAGTGATTTGATCATGGTGGGACTTCTATTAACTTGCTTTCCATCTTCTTGAAAGTGTTCGTGCTTTCAAATCTTAGCATATATGGGCAATTACATTGCTAATTTCCGTGGGCTTCTTGACATTGAAACTTGGGTTAGCACTTAGCTCACATTTCATTTTGTCTTTATGGTGTAGTTGAACTCGCTCAATTAGTAGTGGTGAGCTAGTTGCTTTTTCGAGATTTAGTTTGTGATGTTAGAAATGTGTGGTTCATTTGATTCCTTACGAATGGTTTCTGTAGAATCTTCGGTTCTCAAAGTTGATCAACCTCCATTATATGCTTGTCAATATTTTGTTCTGAAATGAGTTGAAGTTGCATGGAATGTTGTCAGTACTATTTTCTTTATCCAAAGATCCAATGTGGCAATGAATGCTGGAAGAATGCATCTTGTGATGTCCAAATTGTAAAGGCTCTGAAAATGTAACAGAGTATATAGGATTTAAAAGAACATTATATAGTAGATAACATTTTGTTTTCTAAGTGTATTCAGTAAGGAGCAAGCAAGTACTGAAACTGTCAACAATTTTTCAGATGAGTATCCCAAACTGAGACACAATGGCCCTGGCTTGTTATCTATGGCAATTGCTGATCGTGATCAACGAGGCTCTCTGTTCAGCATCACCTTTGACGCTGAACATCATCTTGATAGGTTTGTTCTTATATTTTTTCCACACTTGATTTGATTTTTCTGTGTATTTGTTAAATTTTATTTTGAAATGCACAAGTTCTCCTAACAGAGGCAGCAACGCCCGTTTCTCATCCATAGTGTTTAGCTCTAGAAATATTTTTATACTTGGTATATCTTATTATTAATCTCAATGGATATTTCACAAGTATTTCGCTTAACTTATAAAGTAACCTATAATCCAGACAATTTTATCTGTTCTGATGTGTTCTAAACTTGTTGTGGTTACACCCGTCTTCGATGTAACTTTTTTATTGTAGTATCTCACGTCAATAATGTCGAATACCAGTCAAATATATTTTCCTGTTGTACATGAGTTTATACGATTAATTTGAAAGTTGAATAGTTTTCTAATTGACAGTAATTTTGAAGCACGAACGCCAGTCTTCGGACTTACTATTTTGCTCTGCTTGGCACACATGATATTTTTTATGCCTGTATGACAGTTGTTTGATTGGCTATCTGGTCAACAGGAAAAATATTGTCTTCGGAAAACTTGTAGAGGGAGACGAAGTGTTGAAAAAGATTGAAAATGCCGGAGATGAGGAGGGGAGACCTGCTGTGATTGTGAAAATAGTTAATTCTGGAGAAATACATGACGGTAGGAAAACCAAATTGCTCTAATTTTGCATATATCTATCTGATGGAATATTTAATTTAAGAGCATTGATTTAATACCGTATTGGCTATTAACTGTAGTTCATATTTATTTTCTTATAACTCGAGCCGTGGGATAGATCTTTTTCATTTTTAAGGTGGCGTTTCGTACTGTTTAATATATTCTGAAGGAATAACTTTTTGTTTGTACAGATGCAAAGAGGAGTAATAAGAAGTTGGGGAAGGATGCAATAGAGGAAAATAATCATGGGGTGAAACGCAAGGGGAAGCACAAGAAAACTTCAAAGAAGAGGAGAAAAAGAAGAAAAATTTACTCATCCGAATCTGAAAGTTCAACAGATACTGATACGGACTCTTCAGAATCTGATACTGATTCTGACTCAGACACTTCCTCGTTGAGTGACACTAGCTCTTCAGGTGATGACAGGCGTAAGAGGGGGAGAAGATCTAAGAGGGACAGGCATAAGCGTGGGAAAAGGAAGAATAGACGTCATGAAAAAAAACGCCGTAAGAGGCGGGATAAAAAGTCAAAACATAAATCGAAAAGGTAACAGAAGTGTACTGCTTGTAGTCTCACTGATATTTTAGATTTGGGATTATAATTTATATGTAGTGGAAACTTTACAAAGCTTTCTCCGTTCATGTTCCCTAACATTGGTTTTGTTGAAATATTTTAGGAATAGCATCTCCGATAGTGAGACTGGTGGTAAAAGTGGAGGTAGCTCTCAAGATGATGTTGCAGTTGGTGATGTGAAGCATAAAATTTCTGGTAGATAGTAATTCTCCTTTACAGTTCCATTTTTTCAAAAAAATCTTATAAGTTATCTATTCTTATTATGTTATGTGCAATCTCCCAGAAGGGAATTCATCTCCTGTAGTTGAGCAAACTCCAAAGATTAATGATAAGAAGTGGGAGGGAGCTATCTCAGACAGAGAAGATCGCGAGTTCCCCAAGGAAAATGGAGATCATCCGAGTAATGGTATTGATATGGGAGTGGACTCTGCACAAACTGCTGCTGGTAGACACCATTATGCAGTAGATAATCGTCCAAGTAAATCCAGGTTGGTACTTTCTTTTAATTACCAATTTCCTTCTACGGTTATCTTTATTCACCAGATTATGGTTATATGCTGGACTGTTAATGACAGGAGTCGAAGCGGAAGCCCTGTAAGAACGAGTACTAGTCCTAGGAACGCGGTCAGAAGTCCAAGTCCGAGTGTTAGCAGAAGCCCACAGCACATCTCTGGCAGAAGCAGGAGCAATACTCCAGCTAGGAGTGGGGGCAGCATAAGCCCCCGGCCCCGCCCCCCAGCTAGGTCTCGTTCTCAACGAAGTCGTAGTAGAAGTGCTACTGTTTCTCCTCCCAGAAGAAGAGTTATTCGAAGCCCACCCAGAAATTCATCCAAGAGGTCATCGCTGAGGTCAGCAAGCCGCAGTCCGGTGAGATCCTCCCGAAGGAGCATAAGCAGAAGTCCAGTTAGGGCACCACCTAGGAGAAGCCCAAGTCAAAGCCCAAGTCCAAGTCCTGTAAGGGCACCTTCTAGAAGGACTAACCGCCCCAGCCACTCTGGCAGTCCTGTAAGTGCAGGCCGTAGGGCAAAAAGCCCATCAAGAAGCCCTTCGGTTGATGGAAATCGAATTAGAAGAGGAAGGGGCTTCAGTGATCGATTCACTTTCGCCAGGCGTTCACCCGATCGGTCTCCTGTAAGGCCGTACAGTTACGGTGGTCGAAATGACCGCGATCGGTAAGAGAAATTTAAACCTTTTTCAGACCTCTGTACACTGTTGAATTGTAATTTTTTCGATTGTTAATGTCTTTATTCTTTAATATACGTTAGATACTCAAGTTACAGAAGATCATCCCCTAGGCGTTACAGGAGTCCACCTCGAGGAAGAACCCCTCCCAGGTCTGTGATATTAAATGGATTCTTTCGTCTTTTTGTCAACATTCTTGCATCACTTTGTCATGTTTCTGGGTGTTGTAACTTTTCGTTGTGGATATTTGCAAACAGCCTTTCACAACATAATTTTCCATGGGTTTATCGGGTTCTTATATGCTGGTTATTTAAGTAGAATCATCAGATGATGTTAATAGACATGCCAGTGATGCAAAAACTTCTGTTTGTAGGACAATCAAAAGTTGGTAGTGCTTGGCATTAGTAGAATATGTCATCTAAGGCTTTATTTGGAGGGGGATTTCAAATCCATAATAACGAATCCGTCCCGATTTGAGTTCATTTTAAATCCATTTATTTCAAAACCTTCAAACAAACGCACCCTATATAGGCGTCCGCATTAAAAGAGTTGGTACTTAGCCTTTACCATTAAACTAAAGGTCCAGGGGTTATGCCCTTCCCCTACTTCTTCATGTGTAACAGGATTTGAATTTGTAAAAAAGAAAAACACCAGGAGTATTTGATTATTAAGTTGTGAAACTGCTGAAATTTCAAGACTAATTTTCTCTGTATTTTACACACACCACACACACATGTATACACACAATTCTGAATAAAGTTCGTTGCTTGCAGATACAGAAGCAGGCGAAGTAGGAGCCGCAGTCCTAGTGTATCTCGTAGTCCAATACGATTTCGTGGCCGACGCTACAGCAAGAGTCCGATTCGCAGCCGATCTCCGGTAAGGCGCAGGTCACCTTCTAGGAGCAGGAGCCTTTCAAAATCTTTATCTCCGAGGCATTCCAGCAAAGTCAACCCAAAGTCGTCACCTTCTGCCAGTGCTAGCCCACCTCGCAAGACAGGTCTCGTCACTTATGGAAATGGCTCACCTGATTCTAGTCGGGATTAAAAACAAAATGTTTTTTAATTATAGTTTTTCCTTTGCTGTATTGTGATCTGGAGAGTACTTTATTTACATGAGTATTGTTTTCTCCTTAGCTTAGTTTATGAGTATGTGTATGGGAGCAATGGTGTTTGAGGCATTAAGCAGTAGAGTGTCTTGTTTGCGAATTTTTTTGACGGTATATGTGGAAGCGGTTTACATTATGGCAATGTTTGGATTCGTTTAGGGGGTTATTTCCATTTTCTTTTGGGGAAATGCGTTTTGAGGGAATAATTTGAGGATAAAAGTAATGTTTGTTTATAATTTTAGATGAGACAAAATAAACTGTAGCGGCTAAATCTGCTAAATCATGTTTAAAGGTTCTAAATCAGTTAAATCATGTTTAAAGTTGTTGGGAAAATGTACAGTAGCAGATGAATATGAAAAATAAAGTGATGTTTGTTTGTCTTTTATTAAAAATAATGTTTATTGTAATAATCAAATTTTTTATTTTTTTTCTGTAACAGTCAACTCATGTTTTCACGTTGTGTTGATTTGTTTTTTGAAAATCTTTACACATAGGAATGCGTTTCAGAGAAAGAATAAAGTGAAAAACAAATCGAACTAAATGTTACCATTGTCAATTGGGTTCATGTTAAAACATATTCTTTTTCAATATATATACAACTTAAAGCAAATTTCTTATTTTTTAATAAATATAGTTTGATACATTAAACTATTAAAAAATAGAACAAATGCAATCAACATTTATAAATAAAATTACGAGTGTGATACAGTTAGTGAAGTAAGAAAATATTATTTACTGATCCTAGTTTAAATTATTGCACAAATAATAATAATAAAAAGAAAAAATAAGAGAGAGAAGCTCAACTCAGAGTTCATATTTCCTACCGTGAGCGTGATGTTACCATACCAGGGCCAATAAAGTAATTTCAATTCAAGAAAAAAAAAAAAAGAAAAACGAAAAATGGGTGAGTGAGTTTTTGTTCTAGGTTTTTCTCACACACAGTCGCTCTTTCGTCGTCACTATTCTGTGGAGAGGAGCTGTTCTTTCAGCTGCGGCACCACCGTTACTCAGGTGCTACAATCTGTTCAACTACTCTCATTCTCTATCTATCCCAAATTTGTCTCTTCACGCTGTGATCATTTTCTCGAATTTTCCCTTTTGCATTATCCGTTTTGCGAGGTTTTATTTGAGGTTTTAATTAGCAATTGCTCTTTTTTTTTTTTTTTTACTTCTCCCCCTTTCATAAATCTGTGTTGCTGCAGTTTTCTTCGTTTACTGAGTTGATTTCCGAGAATCCCGTGTTTTCTTGGGTGAAAAAAATGTTTTTTTTAGGGTTTAGGGTTTCGGATTTGTCTAAGGATTTTTAGTCGTTCGCTAAAAATTCGTATGCGTCTGCATTGTTCTTCGCATATGGTATAGACATTGGGATATCTTTCAGTAGTTTTGTTATTTTTCTAATTTTCAGCGCTTTCTATAAAATTGAAGCTGTAATTCACAGCGTGAACCTGCTAATGCTGCCTAATAATTTGACATTTTCATACATTAATTCTTTATTTGTGAGCTAGTGAAGTTGAATGATGGAGAAAATGAGCAAGAGGAAACCGCTAGTGTTTTTTGATGTCTCGGTTGATGGAGATCCTTTAGAGAGGATGGTTTTTGAGGTATAATTGTATCGATTTGCTTCTTGTATCTTCCAATATATTGTTGAACTAAAACATATGTTGTAACTGTATGTATGCCTTTGTCTTTTCACGCACTGTAGCTCTTCACTGATGTTGCTCCCAGGACTGCTGAAAACTTCCGTGCACTTTGTACCGGTAAGTTTTTCCTTTTGCAAATGTCTTACCTTGATACACTATGTTTATGTGTCTTACAATTTCTCTTCAGTTTCGGTAGCGTCGTCGTTGTAATTTTCCATGAATGCATTAACCTTTCATGATTCGTGGATGAGTATTGTGAATGGCATTATTTTGTTTGTTTGCTTTTATCTTTTTTCGTTATATATATAATTTTTTTTGTTTTTGTGGCCTTGTTGTCATTAAACCAATAAGCTCTATTAAGAAATCTTCACTTAATTTTTCAATCCTTGTCGACTCCAATCCCGTTTGCAGTGTCATATATTCGATCTTCTTCACATCATTTTTCAATTTTCCCATTTCTTCAGGAGAGAAAGGCGCCAGCCTTAAAACTGGGAGGCCACTACACTATAAAGGGACCTTTTTCCATCGCATTATCAAAGGATATGTGGCTCAGGTATGTTATTTACTTTTTCATTTTTCTCAATTAAATGCCAGAAAAGATTAATTAAATATGATAAATTTGCTCTGTCCCCTGGATTGGTTGAGCATAAATGAGATGTGGTCTATGCCTTTTAGTCAGCTATATCCTTGTTTATCTGTTGACAGTATCGACAGGGCTGATGGTCACAACCGCATTTCATGTGATATAGTTTTGACTTTTGAGGTTGTACTTACAGAGTTGTCCATTCTTATGATTTACTGAACGTTGGTGAAAATAACCTAAATTTCAATATCTTTGTGATGAATAATGGTTTACAGTCTTTTTAACTTTTCTGCAGGGAGGGGACTTCCTTCGGCGAGATGGTATGTTGCAAGGCTATTAAATATTACAATATACCTGTGTTCTCTGTTGGAATGCTTTAGTACAATTAGTCTTCAACTTTGCAGGTAAACATGGAGAAAGTATATACGGTGGAAAGTTTCCAGGTAAGAAGCTATTCTTAGTTCCGTTTATATTTCTATTTTAGCTTACCATCTGCTTAGTACTGATAATAACCCACAGAAGTTAGAAATCCGTTCATATCTGGAGCCTTAAAAAACTTCACTCTGTAAGATAAGAATAGAACTGAAATACACGTGCAAATTTGTATGTTACTTTATTCTCTGCTTCATTTTTTCTTGAGAACAAGTGGGTTTCCTTTCTATTGCATGTGAAGGTTGGCGCTAAGTTTATTCTTGCTGCGTTGAAGCCTCAATTTAAATGACACTGGTAAAATTGTTTTCTTTTACTATGATAGAGAATCTAATTGCTAGCTTCAGCCACTGTGTTGAATTTTGTTGAACCACATCTTTGGTTTTCAAATGTCGGCTAAATTGCAATAACAATATTTGTGACAGGATCGTCGAATTCCCTTGTTAACTTCGATCATGCTTCACTCCTATGTGATTGTTTGTATATTATGTGTGATTAACCTATTTTCTAACATAAGATGGCTTATCTCTCAACATCATGCTGCTGAGCTATATGGAACTGAAGCAGTAGGGTTTTCTCTTATAACTGCACTTACGGAACTGAACAGTCAAAATTGAGCAATGTAGTGTTGAATCTTGCATTTTAAAATCAATATGCTTATAAACATTGCAGAGTGATTTCAGATATTTGAGTACCTGATGTCCTGATCTTATTTTAATGGTCCGAATTGATTTTCTGTATTGTGGTAGATAGTGCAGGCCTTGTTTAGTCAGAGATGTTCAAACTTATAAAGCTTCTGAAATATAACAAAGTACATGGGATTTAAAAGAATATAATAAAGTAGAGAAGATTTTATTTTCTAGGTTGACATTATTACGATCTATTGCCCCCTACTTTTTATTATTGGCATTCTGAACTTTCTTTGTATGTTTCTTGTATTGGTTGGTGTTGGTTAATGGTGATCATTTTCAAGTCTCTTGTATTACTAGTATTGCCTTCGCTTGCATGTTTCCCAGGATTGCTTGTTTAGGAAATTCTTGGATGTGAATAGGATACATCTCTTTCACGTGAATTGTTTGTAGAAGCAATTTTTGTTATGTTACCTTCCATAATACATGAAGGAGCGAGTAGTTAATGAAACTATTAACAATTTTTCAGAGGAGTCTCCTAAACTGAAACATGATAGCCCTGGGCTGTTATCTATGGCAATTGCCGATCGTGGTGAACGAGGCTCTCTGTTCAGTATCACCTTTGAGGCTGATCACAATCTTGATAGGTTTGTTCTTCTATTCTTTCAACACTTGATTTGATTTGTCAGAGTGCTGAACTGCTTGTTAAATTTTAAATTGAAATGCATAATTTCTCCTAACCAAGGCAGCAATGCCAGTTTCTCATCAGTAGCCAGTGTTTAACTCTATAAAAATGTTTCTGGATCTGTTGCAAGTATTTATGTTTTGTTCCACAACTCAGAAAATAAATCTTACTCCAATAAATTTGATCTGTTCTCATGTTTTCTAAAATTAATGAGGTTGCACCCATTTTCTTTTGAACATTTTTATTGTAGATTTTACATCAATAATGTGGAATTCCAGTCAAATACATATTTTCCTGTAGTACATGAGTTTATACAATTTGGATGATTCATCTCCTTTTCCACATTTGAAAGTGAATAGCTCTCCAATTGACAATAATTTAGAAGCACCAAAGCCAAATCTACTGTCTTTGGATATACTATTTTGGTCTGCTTGGCGTGCATGATATTTCCTATCCTTTTGTGACTCTTGATTGATTGGCTTTATCTGATCAACAGGAAAAATATTGTCTTCGGTAAACTTGTGGAGGGAGAGGAAGTGTTGAAAAAGATTGAAAATGCTGGAGATAAGGAGGGGAGACCTGTTGTGTTGGTGAAAATAGTTAATTCTGGAGAAATAAATGACGGTAGGATTCCGAACTGTTCCAATTTTGCATATATCTATCAGATAGGATACTTTATTTAAGAGCAATGATTGGATACCATATATTTACTGTACTATATGTGTATTTAGTTACTTCTTTTATATTCGTGTCATGGCCTAGATTCTTTTCATTTTTGAGGTGGATTTTTATACTGTTTAATATATGTACGATGAATTAATTCTTTGTTTGTATAGATGCACATAAGGGTAATAAGCTTAAGTTGGGGAAGGACGCAATAGAGGAAAATAATCATGCACTGAAACGCAAAGGGAAGCACAAGAAAACTTCAAAGAAGAGGAGAAAAAGAAGAAGAAGATATTACACATCCGAATCTGAAAGTTCAACAGATACTGATACAGACTCCTCTGAATCTGATACTGATTCTGACTCAGATACTTCCTCGTTGAGTGACACTAGTTCTTCAGGTGATGACAGGCGTAAGAGGCGGAAAAGATCTAAGAGGGACAAACATAGGCATGGGAAAAGGAAGAATAGACGGCATGAAAAACGCCGTAAGAGGCGTGATAAGAAGTCAAAACATAAATCGAAAAGGTAACAGAAGTGTGCTGCTTATAGTCTCCCTGATATTATAGATCTGGCATCATAATTTATATGCTGAATCTTCGGGACAGCCTATGATGTACTATCAGCCCTTCAAGCTGTCCTCCACCCCCAATGGCAGCCTTGATGATGTTATTGCTATATGTTTGAGTTGTAAGATTGTAAATCTCGGCCTCTTGAATGATGTGACCTGTGAGTAAAAAATGAGCACTACGCCATTTTTTTTGCTAGATGTGGATCCGAACGGCTGATATCTAATTCATTGTCCTTTACCGGCTTTATTGTCTTGCTGAGCATGCATATGCGACTGTTATAAATAAATAAATACCTGTCAATTCTAGCCATCTAATTCATGTTTCCTAACTTTGGTTCTGTGGAAATATTGTAGGAATATTGTCTCCGATAGTGAAAGTGAGGGTAAAACTGGAGGTATCTCTCAAAATGATATTGCAGTTGCTGATGCTGATGTGAAGCATACAATTTCTGGTAGATACTTATTAGCCTTTGAAGGTCCTTCTTTTTTATAAAAGAAATCTTCAAGTTATTTATTCTTATTATTTTATCGTGCAATCGCCCGGAAGGAAATCCATCTCTTGTAGCTGAGCAAGAATTTGCAAAGACTAATGATAAGAAATGGGAGGGAGCTGACATCTCCGAGAGAGAAGATGGTGAGTTCCCGAGGGAAAATGGAGATCATCAGAGTAATGGTATTGGTCAGGGAATAGACTCCGAACAAAGTGCTGGTAGACACCATTACAAACGTCCAAGTAAATCCAGGTTAGTATTTGCTTTTATTCACCAAGTCCATTTTATGTTTATCTTCATTCTCTAAAATCTAGTTATATATTGGATTGTTAATGGCAGGAGTCGAAGCATAAGCCCTGTAAGAACGAGTACTAGTCCTAGGACTGCTGTCAGAAGTCCAAGTCCAAGTGTTAGCAGAAGCCCACAGCAGATCTCTGACAGAAGCAGGAGCAATACTCCAATTAGGAGTGGGGGCAGCATAAGCCCCCGCCCTCGCCCCCACCCCCCAGTTAGGTCTCTTTCTCAACGAAGCCGTAGTAGAAGTGCTACTGTTTCTCCTCCTAGAAGAAGACTTACTCGAAGCCCGCCAAGAACTTCGTCCAAGAGGTCATCGCTGAGGTCAGCTAGCCGCAGTCCCGTGAGATCCTCTCGAAGGAGCATAAGCAGAAGTCCAGTTAGGGCACCCCTTAGGAGAAGTCCAAGTCAAAGTCCAAATCCAAGTCCAATAAGGGCACCTTCTAGACGAACTAACCGCCCCAGCCACTCGAACAGTCCTGTAAGTGCAGGCCGTAGGGCAAGGTCACCTGTTTCAAGAAGTCCTTCGGTTGATGGATCACCTAAGCGCGTTAGAAGAGGAAGAGGTTTCAGTGATCGATTCTCTTTCGTTAGGCGGTACAGGAGTCGCTCCCCTGATCGTTCTCCTGTAAGGCCGAATCGCTATGGTGCTCGAAATGACCGCGACCGGTAAGAGAAATTATACCCCGTAATTTCGCAGATTCTAGAACTTCTTTTTTCCTTTTTTTTTGTTTCCCTAAATTTCTATATTCTTTAATTTTGTGTTAGATACTCGAGTTACAGAAGATCCCCTAGGCGTTACAGGAGCCCACCTCGTGGAAGAACTCCTCCAAGGTGTGTGATTTTTAATTTTTAATGCATTGTTTTGTCTTTTCTGTCAACATTCTTGCAAACAGCCTTTCGCAACGTAAATATCCATGGTGAGCTGGCTTCTTTATCCATCGTTTGTTAGTATATGGGTCCTAATATGCTGGTTATTGAACTAGAATCATGTTAATATATGGTAGTGTTTGCAAAAACTTGTGTTTGGGGACAATTAAGTTGTGAAACTGGTAAAGTTTGTAGTCTAATTTTCTGTATATTGTGCAACTATATATATACATATAGATACCGGGGGAGGAGAAGTAGGAGCCGCAGTCCTAGTGTATCCCGTAGTCCAATACGCATTCGTGGCCGACGCTACAGCAAGAGTCCGATTCGCAGTCGATCTCCGGTAAGGCGCAGGTCACCACCTTCTAGAAGCAGGAGCCTGTCTAAATCACCATCTCCGAGGCATTCAGGCAAAGTCAACCCAAAGTCTTCACCATCTGCTAGTGCTAGTCCACCTCGTAAGACAGGTCTCGTCTCCTATGGAAATGGCTCACCTGATTCTAGTCGGGATTAAAAAATAACGATAATAATGGTTTTTAAATTTAATGATACTGTTTCTTTTGATGTATTGTGATCTAGAGATTACTTTATCTGAGTATTGCTAAGTTCTTTGGTGATATTGATTTCTCCGTGTTGGCTTATTTTATGATTATGTCTGTATGTGTATGTGACAATCGTGTTCGAGGCATTAATCGGTAGTCTTTCGTGTTCGATTTTTTTCTTCCAGACATTGGCTGTGAGGCGGTTTACGTTGTTTCTACGTGATGTCTAATAGCAATTTCAATTTAAAATTTCTTACTCAAATTCTATCGTCCAAATTAATCCTTAGATACAGTGGAACTTCGATAAATTGATATTCGATAGAGTAATAACTTCGTTTAAATAATAATTTCTTCCGGTTCCAACTTGGTAAAATTGCATTAAATTGTTAGTTTGATAATTTAATATTTCAATAAATAAAATTTTGTTAGTTCCGATTGTATTAATTTAATGTAAATATATATAGGGTAGCTTACTGCCACCCTATGTAAGCTCAAATTATGAATAATTACAATTGCCTCAATTATGATTTTTCTTACACGTCCATCTTTAGGTATTAGATACCCATCTTCTGATCATCTTGTTATAAAATGTGGAGTTCGAATAAGAAAAAACGGGTGCAAAGTGGGGAATGTTCTATATAATATAAAAGATTTCACTAAATTTAATATCATGAGAATGAAACGTGTAAGATAATTTCATAGTTGATAGTTGATAGGCGATTGTAATTACTGAAATATGCATGATTTTTTTGTAATTTGATATATATATATATATATATATATATATATATATATATATATATATATATATATATATATATATATATATATATATATATTATATTATATTCGAGACAAAGAAATGGGCGGACAAACAAGAAAGTGGAAGCAAAAAAGGCAACCCACTTTATTGAAACAACAACAGACTGCTGCTCAAAATCCTTCACACCAATAAATTGAAAGGTTTTTTTTTTTGTCAATTTCAATTTATAATCAGATCTCGATACAATCTGTGTAAGTATATTCGGCACAATGTTTCCTCTTTCAGTAACCCTCTAAGCTTCTAAAGTGTGCTCACTGCGTGTATGGTGTGAAATTGTGAATTGTATAAAATTGAACAATCGAATTGAAGCTCTTTCCCCATTGTATGTATTCACTGTAATCGTTATTGCAAATGGGTTATTCATTTATTTTAATGTCGGAATCTCTGCTGCCATTTTCAAGGGTTCCTTACTTTTTTTTCGATTATCTTTTATTGTGTAGTTTTAGACCTTGGTTAGTGTATTAATGGTGGAAGCCAAGTTTTTTTTTTTTTTTTTTTTTTTTTTCTCACCTTCTAAATTAGTATGTATGTATATAACAGCACTGGGATTTTTATGCTTTTCATGATTAATATAATCAAGCTATGTTGATTTTACTTCCTCTGCTTAATTGTTGGTTAAGTAATTTTTATTTTTGTTTTTTGATGTTTAAGGTAGTTTAAGGTACTGAAGCCCATATAATGACATTCGAGTTCGGAAGAACTCATGTTGTCAGGCCGAAAGGAACACATAAAGCAACGATAGTTTGGCTCCATGGCCTCGGTGATAAAGGCTCCAGGTATAAACGTATAACGATTAATTTTTTTTTTTTTTTTATATAGTCGTCGAAAAACGGAACAATATTTTTTTTATTTTTTTCTGTTTATTTGGTTTTGAAGTAAGGTTGCAAATTAAGAGATGAATAATCACGTAAATTATCTATCTCGTTGCAAATGCTGCTTAGTATAGTTTCTACGACATGATTAATGTGTGAGTTTCGTTCGAAATCAAGGATGTTGATTCTTTTCAATTTATTTACAAGAACCTTTATACTAAAAATGGTTTCGGGTTTCGGGGTTCGGTTTCGGTTTCGGCTTCGGCATTTTGATCTGTGAAGAATAGAATAGAAGATCATTTTTTGTTCTCCTTGATATGATCTTGAAGTTGAGAAGTCGGAAGTTGAATAGGGGACCACATACTCACTAGATATGCTTTTTATGTTTTAAAAACTTATTAAAAGTATAATATGTATTTATTTGTTATTTGATTCTTTCATCTTGTTTTTCGTTTAATATGTGACGAAGAATATGCTTTTATTTGTGATTAGTAATTTGTGGTGTGCTTTAATTTAATCATCACTTTTGCAGCTGGTCACAAATCTTGGAAAACCTTCCTCTTCAAAATGTAAGATTCGATTTAAAATTTATCGATTTTTTTCTTTTTTTTTTCGTCTCGTCAAACTCTATGACCGCTTTCTAGTCAAGAACGTATTTGTTTTATTATATAAACCAATATTCAATTCATGCAGGTAAAGTGGATTTGCCCAACTGCTCCTACTCGCCCCGTGTCGTTATTCGGTGGATTTCCGAGCACTGCTTGTAAGATTAATTTCCCTATATCTTTAACACATTTTGTTTTTGGTTTTGTATTATAGTGTCGGAACTCGTTTTATTTAAATTTTTTTTTCCAATATTACTACAGGGTTTGATGCACAAGATATTTCAGACGATGCGCCTGATGATTTAGAAGGATTGGATGCATCAGCTGCACATGTGGCGAATCTCTTGTCGACTGAGCCTGCTGATAGTAAGTTTCTTACTTGAACATTTAAACGTGCATTTCTATTTTCGAACGAAATTTTTGCATCGGTTTTTAATAATAGTACGAAGTTCACGTAAGTGATGGAAAAAGGGAAAACAATTGAAATTCAGGAATCATAAATCGGATCGATCGAATCAGAAATTAGCACTTTCGGTAAAAAAAAATCAAATTTTTCGGAAGTGAAGAACTAATTCCAATTCTGTTCCAAAAAAAATGGAAAAATTGGAAATTGTAATGTAAAAATCTTGCTCCAAAATCGAAAATTTTCGAATCGGAATCGACAGAATTCGTAATTTCCATTTCTTTAGTCACCTATAATATTACATACATAATAATATTGATAAATCGGAATTTTTGAAAATTAAAACCAGACCAAAATTTGAAATCTAAAATGTGTTCCAATTCCGTAAAAAAAAAAAAAGATCGGAAAAATCGGAACTTTCAGAATTCGGAATAAAAAAAATATATTTCGTTTTGCTACAGTTAAACTAGGAATCGGAGGGTTTAGTATGGGTGCTGCAGCTGCTCTTTACTCGGGCACATGTCACATTTTCGGTCAATATTCCAACCGAAATCCTTACCCCGTTAACCTAACCTCCATTGTTGGTCTTAGTGGCTGGCTTCCGTGTTCCAGGTTTATTATTATTATAGCTTCCGTTTAATTACTTCTTTCTTTATTCAGACAACACATCATCATCGGATAACTGTAATAAATATTCTCTTCTTCTTTTTATTAATTAATTTACCGAGTGGATAATTATTTTTTTTGTAGGATGCTGAGGAATCGATTGGCCGGATCGAATGATACTGTTACACGCGCCTCATCTTTGCCTATTTTGCTCTGTCATGGTTCTGGTATGCCGCATTTTGACTTACGGTTGTCAAAATAATTAAATTTTTTTTTTACAAAATTTGTGTATGCGTACATCAATGCATTGGGGGGCCATGGCCCCCATTGCTCCTCGAAAACCTAGTTGTTAAATAAATAAATAAAAATATTATATTTACAGGGGATGATGTAGTGGCTTATAAACACGGCGAAAAATCTGCACGAATACTACATTCAGCTGGATTTCAAAACCTTACATTTCGATCATACGATGGGTATTCCTAAATTCAAATTTCAATTAAAGAAAAAAAAAACCCGAGTTTAATAGGTTAAATTATTTGACTTATTTTTGTGTTTTTTTATTGATTGTCTTGAAGGCTTGGCCATTACACCATTCCGGAAGAGATGGATGAGGTTTGCCGCTGGTTAACCGATAAACTGGAGCTTCCGGGTTCGTAATCCAGAAGCTTCTAGAAACATCTAGGGGGGTATACTTTGGGCTATACGAAATAAGACATCGTAGCTATAAGACGAAGAACGATTAATTTCATTATGTTTTTTTTCCCTTCATCTATGGGATATTCTTGTTGCTCTTTGTCTCTTTGTTTTTCAACTTAAGATGTGATTTGTTTTGGAATATTCTTGTTTGTTACTTTGTCAAAGATGGTATGGTTCTATGATGTGATATTGAAATGGGTAAAATTGATTGGCTAGAGTTGTGATAGTTGCTGGTGTCGAATAACAACCTGCTTAAATAATTGATTAAGAATTGCACTTACTTGGGAGTGGAAATCGAGAGGAAATACGAAAAATGACAAATCGACTGAGGCTTGCAAAAGCAATGTTGTCAAGACAATATTTTTGGGGTGTATACGTGCAACAATTTCCCCGTAGTTTTCCATGATACAATAGTCAGATACTTCAAATTCGATGCCTAGTGCGAAATTGAAACATAGAAACAAAATCCGGATAGAAAGGTAGATGAAAAAACTATGACTAAAATACCTTAAAATCGTATGTTGAATTGACCAAATTCTGTCTTTATTTATAGTTTTCGCAAGTCTCTTTGCAGAGAGACACGTAAGTTGGATAATGAATATGAACATTTCACAAGACAAGTTTCATAATACCATAATATCATTATACACGTGTATTATCGAGTACCTATTTTACAACCATTTATATCTAAGTCATAAAATAATCGGGCAAAACTCAAATATTCTATGATGGGGTCAGTTCGGCACTAATGGGCTGAACTCCCCATATTCAGGTTAATAGGTTCAAGGCCCAATAAGTCACAAGTATCAGAGTGGGCCAAGAGCTCGCTCAGCAAGCTGAAAGTCCACCTACCAATGTCCATACGATGCGAGCATTACATCGGCGAACTGAGAGCTCAAGACCATTGACCTTGGCGAAATGTTGTTGATACATTTAATAATAAGAAGAAGGAGACGCGACAGGTGACGACCTGAAGACTTTAAGATCATCGAAAATGCTCGATCTAAGGATTATCTCCATAAATAAATTAAGTTGTGTAATCGGGATCAAAGCTTGAACTAATTTAGAGTCTATGAGATACGAAATGTCTATTTAGAAACCCCGTATATAAACGAAAACAACAACGACCCGATTAGTTTTTGGGCCGAAGCATCTTTCGAATACTTATTGGGCTAGTTATAATTTGAAAAATAAAATAAAATTAATCAATGGGCTTTTAAGCCCGAACCCATTTCTTAGCCTGACCTCATTGTGTGTTGTGTTGTTTTCCCGCCCAAAGCCGTCATGATTTAAAATCATTTTTTTTTATATTTTACAAAAAATGTGAAAAATAAAAAAAAAAAAAGAAAAAAGAAAAAAACAGAAGTTGGCGATATCATAACATCTAATTCACAATTTTGACTCATTTGAGTGACAAATATAGAAAAAAAAGATCTGTAGGTAAGAAATGCAGACGAGCGTTGAAATTAGGGTTTCTGAAAATGGACTCGCCTGAATCTTCCAAACCCACCCCCATCGCCGCTGAAACTGCTGCTATTGCTCAGGTATATTTATATATACGCACCCACTCTCTGCACACACATGCGTGTTATTAATTTCTGCGTGCATTGCTGTGTAATGTTTCTTTTTAGTTCATTTTCTTGTGGATTTTTGTGTTAGGTTTTTGCATAAGGTAATTGGTTAGGCATTTTGTGTGTTTTTAACTTTTAAGGCCTCGTTTGGTTGGGGAGATTAGTCATGATTAACTAAATAATTGGACTATGTTTGATGTTTGGTATCCCCAATAACTTGCCAACTTATCTTGCCTTCTAGGCATGTTTTTTATTGGATCATCGAAGGTCCAATAATATAATTGGGTTTTATTAGATTATTTAATCTTATCTTAGCAACCAAACGAGGCCTAAGGATATGAGATATTTGGCAGCACAATGATGTTTCTCGTTTCGCAGTGGCCAATTTTGGATTAAGGGTCTTTTTAGATAATGAGGTTGGGAAATGCTGCAGTTTAGTAGTTAAGTTTTTTTACATTGATTGGATAGTACTGGTGGGTGAGGGACCTATGTTCGATTTGCGCTTCAATTGATTCGTGAGGTCTAACTCGTTCTGTGCAATCAAATGATTCCTAGACATGTTTGATGGGATTGCTACTTTATCTGTTTTCCTAAGTTGTGTAGGATTTGGTATATTTATGTGTCGACGTTTGAGCATTAACCATAGTATTTATTTGGTTCATATGCATTTGATGGTTCTGGATTTTTCCTATTCAAGTTTAGAGAATGATGGTTAATATTAATTGAGGAGCCGCTAGTTTAAATTTGGTGCATATTGGCCAGATAATTCCAGCTTTCCACAAACTCAGATAGACTTCCCATTTCTTTTCTTTCTTATGGAGTGGTTAGGTTGTTTCACTATCCCGTGTCTTTATTTGGTCCTTGTATTCAAGTTGAACATTCGCAACATTCATCTGTCGTCTTCTGTGTTAATGTGGGACTCGGAGTTATGTAGTTTTCGTTCGCTGGATTAGAGACAGAGATCATCTTCCGATTATGCTTTTCTAGTGATGATTAATTTAGTTTCTTGCCTGTGTATTGATTAGGGATTTACAAAATAATAAATGACAAAAAGAAAAGTTCCTTTCAAGATTTGATGTCTATGTAAAAAGTAGGCGATTTTGTCTTACTGCGTAGAAAATATGTTGCGAGTAATGAAGAATCAGATATTTAAGTTTGTATCTTAAAATTATGTTTCCGTGTGGTTTATTCGTTAGCTGTTGTTTCCTTGGATCTCAGGACTCTCCCGTGTTTAGTTTTATTAGCAACCTTTCTCCAATACAGCCAGTGAAGGCACCATCAGTTAGACAAGATTTTGTGGAGGTCAATTCTCCTCCACTTGTATTCAAATCGCCTCGACTCAATCCCCGTAGCCAGCTAATGTCTCTTAAAAGGTTTTTTATGCATTTCGCGAAGAATAAACTTCCTTTTGAATTATTGTATCTCAAAGGACACTACAATTTTTGTAACTAATTTGTCATGATGTAAATGTTATGCAGGTCACAATTCCCTAGGCAAATTCTTTCAGAGTTACCTGGACAGGATGAACATGGAATGAACAGTGTCCCTACAACTAAGTTGGATGAAAAACCGGACATTCAGCTGTGCACGAACGAAGAGGAAGGCTCAGATAGGAACAGACCTGTAAACGATCTAGAGAGAAGTGCCATCGGAAGTTCTGAGCAGTTCTTGAGAGATACAATGATCATGGATTCTGTTGGTTCAGAATTTTCATTGGATTCAACCATGAGAAAATCTGAATGCATTGATCAACCATTGAATGCTGTAGTAAAGCTTGACTCAGAACTTAATTCAAGAATTAGTGAAGAAGTAGGGCTTGCACCTCCTTTCATCAGTAGGCAAGGTGAAGAGGTACGTAAAGAAAATATACCAGTTGATGCGAGAGGAACGGAAATAGATAAAACGCAGGGAGATGGTGATTACGTTGATCAGTGTCCACAGATTGGACATGAGTTACCTGTAGACAATGCTTTGACAAGTCGGGATAAAGAAAATTATGTAACTGAGGTCAGTGATGATGATCAGTGCAACATGGTCTACTATTTATAATCTGAAAATTGCATTATGTTGCTTTTCTAAACCCGATAATTTGCAGTTCCAGAATGTAGAAGCGGGGCAGGTCGCTCTCTTGGATCCATCCTCTTATTTGCTCTCTGGACCAACAGAAATTGGGAAAAGGAATGAATCTTTTGTTGAGGCTAATGGAGCAGCTTTGACTGAACCCTTTCTCAAGAAAGTGCAAAATGATCCCGAGGTTTGAATTGTTGATATCTGAAAATTTGGTTTTATATGTCATACAAAGCTGTAATTTCCGTGAATCTGCTTCATTGGTACTGCTTTGATTATTTTTTAAGTGAATAAAGTTTGATGAATTTGTATACATTTTGTTGTTTCTGTTAACATCTAGATGCAGACTTACTTCAAGATGACTATTTGTACATATTTTTTTCTTATTTGAATTACCCTGTCCCTGGACCTATGTAGTAATCAAGTTGCAATTAGAATTTTATGTGCTTCATATCGCGCAACTATGTTGTTGATGTAAGACAATTCTGTTTATATTCATCCAAAATGTGACACAATCTTAAGCACCTAATCATGTACCTTTAGCTTTAAGCCTGCTAAGTTTTTGGATAAATCAAATTTGTAAAATGTGCTTATTTCATTTTGTCAATTTTTGCATCATTGAATTGTTTGTGGTGCTTAAGTTGTTTCTGCACGTCACTTAAACTCCACGGACTGAAATTTTACATCGTGCTTGAGGAGAAAATAAATCCATTCTCAGAAATGATTATGACGAACATGTTCAATATGTAAAAATTTTGAGACTGCTGTCGTGATATTTCCTAAAGAATTGCTAAACCTTCAGGTTTTTCAACATGGTGGGACCCGTAGACGTTGTCTGCAGTTTCAAGATTCTCAGTACAAAGCAATATTAAATCAGTCTGCAGAAATTCCGTCTAATTGTGATGGAATAAAATCACTATCCCTAGAGACACCATCAATGCCCATCAATGGCAAACACGATGAAGTGACTCAGCTCGTAAGGTACCCTAAAAATTATTCGAATTCTACCATCAACATTCCCAAGCCTTCGGGTATTGGCTTGCACCTTAATAGTATTGTCAACACGGTGCAACCGGGATCTGGTGCAATCGTAAACGTGAAATCAGCTCACGGAAACTTAAGTGTTACTAGGAAGAAGTCCACACTCACAATCAACCCTCGTCTATCTGAGTACTCAAACAGCTCTTCCGTATTATCTGTGGTTGAGAATGCCTTAGAAAACACTGATGATAATACACATGAAATTCAAGACTCAGCAGTAGCTATGACAGCTATGCCTTTGTCCAATCATATTGTCCAACCTTCAAACAACACCGTCGTCTTAAATTCAGTAGGGGATCAGTCAACCCCAGGTAATAAGAGGAACTACACTGAAACAGATGATGGCTCTGATGATTTCAACTACAAGTCAAGTCCCAAAAATAAAAGGCAAGCCTATGAGCTATCTTATTACCATATACAGTCTAATGTTCTGCAATGCTCTTACAAGAATCAATCTGTTTGCAACTCTACAGGATGAAATCATCGGACCCAGGTAATGCTGGTGGTTGCAAAAATTGCAATTGTAAGAGGAATAAATGTTTGAAACTGTAAGTAGATCCAACTCATTTTCACCAATATATCTTGCACCTCCCATTCTACTTCTTTGTGATTTGTCTCTCTACAGTTATTGTGACTGTTTTGCTGCGGGGATCTATTGTGCGGATTCCTGTGCTTGCCAAGAGTGCTTTAACAGACCCGAATATGAAGATACAGTTCTCGAGACACGACAAAAAATTGAATCTCGGAACCCTCTTGCATTTGCTCCTAAAATTGTACAACAAGCCATCGAGCAACCTGCAACCATTCATGCGGTATGGCTTCCATCAGATTCGTAATTTAGAGGCACCTCGGCAAAATACTAATTGAAATGTTTGTGATCCTGCAGGAAGACGGTACCAATTTCACGCCATCCTCAGCACGGCATAAAAGAGGGTGCAATTGCAAGAAGTCGATGTGTCTCAAAAAGTACTGTGTGTGCTATCAGGTATCTATATTTGCGCATTTCTGTATCAAGGTTTTGTTTAAAATTCTTTATTTCCTTTGCTATACTGTATTGTCTTCCGTATTTATTTTTTAATGTATCCCTTTTGTGTAGGCGAATGTTGGATGTTCAGATGGATGCCGATGCGAAGGATGCAAAAATGTTTTCGGCCAAAAAGGAGGTATAATATACTCAAATACCTTTTGTTTTATTCTGATACTTGAAGGATGTGATATAAAACGTGAATTTTATAGTTACGATTATTTCTTGTTTAGCTTTTAAATTGATGTATACCCATTCTTAATTCTTGATCTGAACGATGCCTTCATTTAACGTCAGTTTGGGGAAGGGAGTAGCTGTAACAAATCATTTGAGTCATTTGTTTGTCATAAATGAAAAGAGTTTCCTTCACCTTTTAATATAATTGATGGAAGTGATAATATTTGTAATTCGGCAGTCTATGCAACACATTGAAGATGAATGATTTCACACTATTATAACAGCTTGCTCAATTTTATATAGCTTCGACTCGCATAATGTTTTATCTATTTAGCAGCATTCACTTATACTTAATCTTGATACTCCATTGTTCTCCCAGAATATGGCATGATTAAGGATGTATGGAACGAAAAAGATACCAATGTAACAACAAATGGTTCATTTCTTGAAAAATGTGAAATTGAGCCATCTGGAAATGGTGTACACCGTGACGAGCTTTACAATCTACATAATTTGAGTCCTATAACACCAGCTTTCGATTTCTCAAAGTAAGATCTAATTTTTCTTAGTGATCTGTACTTTTCATGTCCATAATAGCTTTTTTCGGCATTAACACTTTTTTTTTTCTCTCTCTATTTTCGAATTACATAGCCATGGAAAAGATGCATCAAAAGCTTGGTGCCATTCTGGAAAGTACTTCGAGTCGCCTGAACCCGGTTACACGTTCGTAGCACCATACATGATGTCTTCAGAATCTTCTAGAAGTTCAGACAATCATGTTCTGAACTCTGAAACTGGCGAGGGAATTCTTGATCGGGTTTCTTTTGAGCAATCACATCACGGTAATTCAGAAATGGTGGACGAATTATTATCCGCAGAATTTCACCATCCTGGTACAATGGGTCGTCTTTCCAGTACACCAAATCTTAAGAATTGGGCCGATAATTCAAAAAGTCAACCCTTTCCTGCACAAAGACATTCTTCAGGGAGTTCTCTTGTTTGGGGTGGCTCACCACAAACGCCAATGGCTCAGTTTAGCGGGACTAAAATGCACCGAGAGCTTCAATTTGACAGCGGGTTATCCAGCATCGCGGAAGATGATAGACCAGAGATATTAAAAGACAATTCTACCCCTAATGATGCTGTGAAAGTAAGCTCACCAAATAAGAAACGAGTGTCTCCTCCTCATCGACGGCAAAACGAGTTTGATTCGAGTTCATTAGCTGGGCTTACAAGTGGGCGCAAGTTTATACTGCAAGCTATTCCCTCGTTTCCACCTCTTACCCCATGCGTTGATTCCGAAACAGTTACCACTCAGCACAAAATTGATCCTCAAAATCGAAACGTTCACAAATAAGCTAACATTTTAGAAGGTAACGACTCGCACTTACTAACTAATAATTTCATCTTATTAGTTTTCTTGTTCATAAGTGATTTATTTTAATTTTCATAATTCATCGACAGATACACTGTTATTCAGGGACATCGACAACAACTTTTCCAACTCGTGCGCGAGTCAAAATCTTGCCAGCGCATACAAATGTTTCTACTCAGTCGTACAGTTAAACGAAGATGGCGCATAAAATCACGTTATTTGAACATATTAAAACGGAATTTAATCTGCCAGTGGTCCGGAGAAATCATGTTTAAGGTTTGAAGAATGGGCCGTGAAATCTCCAAAACCCGTGCCATCTCAAACCACAGATCAGGGATCTTTCGTATTCGTTCGTTCATTGTTAGAGAAAAACGAGGTCTACTCGATACAGCCAAACATATCAACTTCTAATGCACATTTGGCAGACACGAAATCTTTGCAAAGGTAATTGAGGACTTATCTTACGCTTTGAATTCTTGCCCGTCGTTTTTTTTTGCCACATCAATATTAGCACAGGAAAGACAAATATTACTTACACAACAAGAATACGTACATCGAACTGCCGATGTAGTTTTTCCTTTCCCCTTGATTATTTACGAGAGCTTATATTTTTCTTAAAACCAGAATTTATGGTTGATTTTAGTTTGACTAGAATTCGATTTTTTTTATTGTTTCTAATACATTTGTTCATTCTTGGAGTTGCTTTCATATTGTGAAATTTATTTTGTTTTTTTGTTTTGTTTGTTTTTTTTAATTTTGTTTTTAAAATAATTGAATCATCAACATATTAACACTTAAATCATTTGAGAGTATTTATTATTATTAGTGTAATACAATATAGTAGGAAATTTCTGATACATTAATATATTAAATTGGGGCCTTAAAAAAAAAAAAAAAAAAATATATATATATATATATATATATATATATATATATATATATATATATATATATATATATATATATATATATATATATATATATATATATATATATATATATATATTAAATTAGGCAATAACTAGTTTATTGGGCCAAATCCATAATTATTAGGGATATAAATTATTTCCTTTTTGTGTTAAAATATTTGTTGTGTTGAATATAGAGAAAGTTAATAAATTCATATTTATTATAGGAGAAAATATAGAAAATGATTGAAATACTCCTCTCTTATTAATTCACTAATTATCTCTTGATTAATTAAAGATGATGATAACAAAATTGAGAAACAAAATTAATTAGGGGTGGCTTGAAGAAGTACCAAAGTTTTCTTACTTTAATACCACCAAGTTTAAATTACAATTCAATGCATATTTATAATTTTTTTCTTACTTTAATACCAAAAAGAAATTAAAAGTACAAATATACCCCTTTCTTACAAAATATCAATTATATCAAAAGATATTGAAATTTCTTATTTTAATACCAACTAGCATTTTTTCCCTGTGCGATGCACGAAATATTATTTCTAAAGTGTAAAAAATAATCAATTTAATACATAATAAGAAAATATAGTATACTAAAATTTAATAATGTAATATTATTCATATTTTATAGAACATTATTTCTTTTTAAATGTGACATATTAAGATTTATAATCCAAATATATAGATTAAGATTTAAGGAATATAATTTCTATCTTTATCTCTTAAGATTTGAGATATATAGAAGAAACATAGGAGATTGATAATTGTTGAAAATTATAGTTAAAAAATTAGTAGACAAAAAATAAAAAAAATAAATAGTTACAAAAGTACCATTAGATATGATTCTTGGGGATTTAGTTTCAATTTTGATAATTGTTAAAAATTATAATTAGAAAAAAAATATTAAAAATATTTAATTACAGAAATACCATTAGGGTTTTTTTAGGGTTGCTAGTTTCTTTCTTTTATATATAAGATTAAAAGAAAAAGAAAAAACCTCCCCTGACTAAAACCCTTCCTCCAACCACCGCCGCTCACCGGTGAGATCCAAACGAACCTCACGCCTCGCCGCTGCCGAGGACGTCTGTAGGCCAACAAACCGCCGTCGTCGTCGTTATTCCAAGTAAGAGTTAGCTTTTAATTTTTTTTCCCCCTTAGATATCGAGTTAAATTTGATATGAATATTTAAGATTTGATTGTTTTAGGTAGGAATGATCTTTATTTAGTAATGAGTGCATCTAATTTCAGTCGATTTGAGCATTCATTTGAGATTTTCGTGGGTTGTTCTTCGTCTCCTCAAAATCGACACATTTAGGTCAAATTTGCGCAGATAAAAAATTTGAATTATAAAATTTTGACAGTTTCCTGTCGAAAATTGTGGAAAAACCGACAGGTTGCTGTCGATTTTTCCATCATTTATGACAGGAATCTGTCGAAAAAGGTTGTACTTTGATTTTCGACAGATAAGCGTCGAATTTCAATGAATTTTCGACACATTAATGTCGAAAATTCACTGTAATTCGACACTCACCCGTCGAAATTCACAATGTCTATTATTATTATTATTATTTTTTTCGACACATACAGGTCAAAAAACACACACATTTTCGACCTGTGTGTCGAAAATGGATGGCGGCTTTAAAAAAAAAAACTTTAAAAATTGACTTTTAAGCTCAAAAAAGACATAGATATATATATATCTTAATGGGTTCTTCTTACTCGTAAACTACCATTTAATTTAGGGTTTGAGGAGAATTTGTAATGTATTTATGGTTTTAATTTTTATTAAGGATATTTATGTCATTAACTATTTGTTATCTAATTTTTATTTTGATAGTATTAAAGTAAGAAAATTTGGTACTTGTTCTAGCCACCCCCAATTAATTAAATGAAATGCTTTTTACGATTTGAAAATTGCTATTTACGGTTTATAATAAAAAACACTTTGGCAATGTTTGGAAGCGTTTTGGATCTTATTTTGATTTCATTTTGAGGAAATATGTTTTGGGGGAATAATTTGAGAATGAAAGTAATGTTTGTTTGTATTTTGGAAGGAGAAAAAATACACTGTAGCAGTCAAATCATGTTTAAAGGTGTTAGAAAAATGTATTTTTGAAGAAAAAAATTGAAAGATAAAGTGATGTTTATTTGTTTTTTAGTGAAGACATTTTTTACTGTAGCAGTCAAATCATTTTACTGTAGCAGTCACATCATGTCTGAAGGAGAGAGAAACTTTTGAAATTGTTTTGAGAAAATGATTTGAAAAGTGTAATAAATCCTATTTTGTTTTGGGGAAACAATGAAAACAAAACAAAAATGGTTCCAAACATAGCCTTTATCTCCTTAAAACTTCAAAACTTCCCAAAAAAATCCCAAAACCCCCCAAACTGCAAATAGAGATAAAATTTTGGAATTTTAGAGAGATAAAATGTTTTTTGTTATAAACTGTAAATAACAATTTTCAAACAGTAAAAAACAAGTCTCATTAATTAATGTACCGTCCAAAATTTTAATTGATAATAGACATTCAAATTGCAATTTTAGGGCTTCGTATAAAAAGGTGGGAGACGAGGACATTTTGTCGTATTAGATGGTGCACCAGAACCGAGTTTCCGCTACAATTTCCCCCACCCACATTTAAATTTGGGGGCAACTATTTTGAATACTAATTTTTGCTTAGTTGAATACTACCTAGTTGAAAACCACAATTGAGTACATATTTTTAAGTTTTTTCTTACTTTAATACCAAAATAAAAATAAAAGTACAAAAATACCCTTTCATACAAAATACTAATTACATTAATTTTTCTTTGAAATTACCTATTTGAAAACCAAATAAAAAAAAAAGAAAAAAAAAATCAAACACAAAAACTCCCTCCGTCAACCTCACGCCGCCCGACGCCGCCGCCGCCGCCCAACCATCGCCGCCGCCGGACGCCGACGCCAAACACCGCCTAACGCCGCCCACGCCGCCCAACGTCGCCCAAAGCCGCCGCCGTCGTCTTCTTCGAATAGTAAGTTATAGTTGTTTCGATTTTTTTTTTCTTTAATATTTATTTAAGATTTGAATGTTTGATATGGGTAATTAGGATTTGGTTGTTTTAGGTTAGAATGATCGTTAATTAGTAATGGGTGCATCTGATTTCAGTCGATTTGAGCATTGATTTGAGATTCGTGGGTCGGTTCTTCGTTCTCCATTTTCGACCTGTACATGTCGAAATTTGGGTGAGGGTTGCTTTTGATTTTGTTATTTTCGACAGCTTACTGTCGAAAATGGGTTTCATTTTGACGAAAAGCTGGCTTTTAATTCAAGCCATTTTCGACAGTAAACTGTCGAAAATTACCCCATATTTCGACAGGTTTCTGTCGAATTTAAACTGTGAAATTTTTTTTTTTTTGTTTTTTTTTACCCCTTATTTCGACAGGTTTTTTTCGAATTTAAACTGTGAAATTTGTTTTTTAATTTTTATTTGGGGGTAATTTTGCAGGGGAAAAACCACTTCCACCTCGTAAACCTCCGACTGTCTCGAACCGTAAAAAGAGGAAGGAATTATCCGATAAAGGCAAGGGCATACCTGTCACGACCAAGAAAAAGACCACGACCAAGAAGAAGTCTGGAGAGGGTTCTTCGTCAACGAATCCGGTGCCGGCTGTACATTCGACTGTACAAGTTGGTGATTCGAGCAATGAACCGGTCCTAGGTCCCGAGATACCGGAATTGTACACAAAATTTGATAAGCACATTGCTTATCATATTGTGAACGGAGGGCCAGATCGTTCGGAGCGCGGCTCAGAATTTCGAATACGAAATCACACAACAACTTTGAAAGGTTGGGAGCCGGCGCCGTTTATTAAAGATGTAGTACAAAGATGTGGTTTAATGTCAGTTGTACAGGCATCGTACAACACTGTGGACGGCCATCTACTTAGAGCCTTCGTAGAGAGATGGCAGCCAGCTACCAACACATTTCACTTACCTGTTGGAGAGATGACCATCACACTTGACGATGTGAGTTCGTTGGTCGGTTTGCCAGTTGTTGGGCGTACCGTATCTTGCGAGCGTTTGGTCCGTGATTCCAAAACCATTCCCAGTACTTTGATGTTCCAGTTGCTAGGTGAGTACCCGGACGATGTAAACAAGAAGAAAGCGGTCAAGTTGGAATGGTTGAAGGCTAAATTTAGCAAAGTGACCCTGAGAGATAGTGCAGAGAAGAGGACGTACGCCATTCGGGCGTATTTGTTATTTTTGCTCGGGTGTACTATACTGTGCGACAAGACAGGCAACATGGTAAGCGTTGAGTACCTAAATCTTGTAGCTGATTTGGATCGGATCGGCGAGTATGCTTGGGGCACTGCATGTCTTTGCCGGTTGTACGATGAGCTTTCCTCAGCCTCACAAAAATCAACGAACTCGATGGCTGGCTGGCTGACGCTCTTTCAGTCATGGATTTACGAGCACTTTCCTTATTTGGGGGGTGGCACATTGAAGACGGAATTCGAGGGGCCATTAGCGAGCCGATGGGAGCCTCAGTCAAAGACTACTTCAACGCCTGAACGAGCGTCGTACCTGCGATCTCGATTAGATGATTTGATCCCCGATCAGGTAACATACCACTTTAATAATCTGTTATTACTACTTAGGTTATATGTTTTACATCTAATTTTTTATTTAATATGTTTTACTTAGGTTATATGGTCACCGTATACGGCTATTCGTGATCGTTTCCCGATGCCAGATTCTGCTTGGTTTAGTGGGATGATATGTTGCATGGACCACTTCGAGGCATATCATCCGGACAGAGTCTTGAGGCAGTTCAACCGGGTGCAAATCATTCCAGGTCGTGCATACATGTCAAAAGATATGTACAAAGCTCTAGTTAGCAAAGGTCGACCGGTCCAGAACGGATCCAACCATGAATTAGCTACATACTCTATAGCCGGGAGATAACCAATAAATGTTCTTTTCAAATCCTCCCAATCCTCATTGAACTCCTCTATGGTATTTCTTTCAATAAGAGCCGAAAAACTCGACTGAAATTGCTTCCATTTGGTGATGTCCTTTGGGAACAATTTCTTACAATTGGCCACTATATTCTTGTTCACATGCCACCGACACAGCAAGTGATGACTCGATGGATACACATTGGCCACTGCTTTCATTAAACCCAAATCTCGATCTGTTACAATGCAATTAGGCCGAGGACAACTGGTCATGGCCTCCTTCAAACAACGCAACGCCCATTCAAAATTTTCCGTCTTTTCGTGGTCCAAGTAAGCAAAGGCAATTGAGAACGTCTTGTTGGTACAAGTAAAACCCACAATCTCAAGAAATGGGAGTCCGTAACGATTGGTCTTGTACGTGCAATCGATGACGAATACGTACGGATACGACTGTGCCAACTTAATGCATTTCGGGTGGATCCAAAACAAGTCGGTAATCGCATTCAACTCGTTCGATCTATGGTACGAGAGGTATTCATCTTCTTTCAACTTGACAAACAATGATTGCAATTGAGATCTCCCATCCAATTCACTGAAATTTAACTTAGAGATAGTATTGTAAACTGTCTTCATACCAGTTACATTAGACGGGTCCTTTTGCTTCAATGCTCTTAGAATTTCCCTTGGTTTCACCATTGCTTTCTTCATAGTGTGAACAAAGGAAACATCCTCCTTTGATAATCTTCCGGCATAAGAGTGTCCGTGCAAGTTTTCGAATAAGTTGTGGTTGTGAATACCACAACTAACATCCAATTTCCACTCAGCCTTTTCATCATCCTTGTGTTCCCTTGTCCCCTTCAATTTAAACGGACAATTGCATTTCTTTGAACCGGTGCTCCTTTTTCCCGGTCTTTGATCATCTTCACCTGGTACCTTCTTGCCAACATAATGGCCCCCACGCTCACAACGAACAATCACATACGGTGTCCTACGTCCTCTATCCCCGTCACTCGAACCCCCAATCATTAACACCATTCCAATTCTTTTACATACTTCACGAACCCATGCCATTAAAGCTTCTTTTGTTGGGAATTTTTCGGACGTGGTAAATGAATGGGTGCAATCGATCTACACAAAAGAGTCGAAAATATAAGACAAGTAAATTTGCAACAGGAACAAATTCGACACTTAAGTTGTCGAATTATGATGCAATTTTCGACACTTAAGTGTCGAAAATTACCCTAGATTTCGACACTTAAGTGTCGAAATCTAAGGGTATTTTCGACACATACATGTCGAAAAATAGGTGTATTTTCGACCTGTATGTGTCGAAAATACATGGCGAGCTTAAAAAAAAAAAAAATTTCAAAATCGATGTTTTAGCTCAAAAAATACATGAATACATACCTGAATGGGTTCTCCTTGCTCGTAAACTACCATTCTATTGTCATTTGAGGCCATTTTGCAAGTTGTGTAAGGTTTTGATTTCTTTTGTTTTGGGGTTTTTTAGGAGGGTTTTTGGGGAGGGAGAAGAAGGAGGTGGAGGAGGTGAGGGGTTTGGGAGTGAGGAGGGAAATGTTTTTTTAGGTTTTTGATTATTTGGTTTTTAAGAAAGAAAAATAGTATTTGTAATATTATTTGGTTTTAATTTTCATTAAGGGTATTAAAGTAATTTCCAATTAATTATTTAATTTCTATTTTTTTGGTATTCAACTAAGCAAAAGTTAGTATTCAAAATAGTTGCCCCCTTTAAATTTATCAAATTTCTCCATTAATATTTTTCTTCAGTCGTTTCACAAAAAAAGGCACACTGAAATATATGTGATTTTTGTGGGTAGACGATAAAAAAAAGGTTAAAAATGTCCTAAAAAGTAGAGTCTTTTAAGATTCTTGAAATTATTATTTCTTTGTATTTTTTTTTGAGGGGAAGTTCATTTTGCTCTTAATTAATACACTGTAATCTGCCTTTAATGCACTGTAATCTGTCGCATCATCACTCCTTACTGCACTTTAACTCTATTTTCATGTTTAAGGAAAAAAAAAAATAATTTGTCAGAAAAAAAATCTCGGTAATTTTCCATTCTTCTTCTTCTTCCTCTTTCATTTCATCTCTCTTTCTTTGTTTCTTGGGTTGTGTGTGATCACTTGTTTAAGAATGTTAGCATTTTACATTATGTTTTTAGTTTTATGATATCACACACACACACACACACACACACACACACACACACACACACACACACACACACACACACACACAGGCACAAATCATTTTTTGTTTATGTGTGTCAAAGTGTGTGATATATATATATATATGTATGTATGTATTCTTGGAAAGAAAAGGTTCTAGATAATCCACACACATTTTTCTTGTGTGATCACAAAACAGGGGGTTTTAAGGAAATATTCAAGAAATGGAGTCCTCAGAAGAAACAAAGCAAAACCCATTGAAGAGAAGCTTTGATTCCTTGAGTTCTCCCCCCCAGCCTGACATTGAAGCCATGGATACAGATATTACATTTATACCCCGGGAGTATGTCCTCTTTTTTTTTTATTATTATTTTTTTTGTGGGTTCTTTGATTCTTGAAATTCTTGGTGTAAAAGTTTAATCTTTGTTATTTATTTATTTTTTTCTTGACTGTTTGATCAATACTTGGGAGTTTTGTTTATGGGGGTTTTGTTTGGATTGTGGGTTTCTGTAGCTAATGTGTTTGTATAAATGTTTTTGTAGCTATCAATTGAAGATGTATGAAATGGCAATGAAGAGGAATACAATAGCTGTGTTAGAGACTGGGGGTGGGAAAACTATGATTGCAGTTATGTTGATTAAAGAAATCGGTAAATCTTTGAAGATAATCGACGGCCGCGGTAAAAAGCTGATCGTTTTCTTGGCTCCGACCGTTCATCTTGTGCATCAGGCATGTATTCTTTTCGTTCTTGATATTATATTGGATGAATTAAACATTTTCCGTTTTTTGTTCGTCTTCTGGTGATAAAATCTTCGATTTTGAGTCCACTTTTACATTGCAGCAATATAAGGAGATAAAATCACATACGGAGCTCAACGTGGATGAATACTACGGAGCTAAAGGAATCGACGATTGGAATGAGAAGATCTGGGAGAAGGAAATCAACGAGCGTGATGTTAGTTAATCGCCAGTCGTGCTTTTACTTATGCATCAAATTTCGTTTTTTAAATGAAAATAAATAAATAAATTGATCGTGTTCGTTCTTTATAGGTTTTGGTGATGACTCCTCAAATACTATTGGATGCTTTGAGGAACGCGTACTTAAATTTCGAATTAATTGCCTTTATCGTCCTCGATGAATGCCATCGTGCCTCTGGTAGCCATCCTTACGCAAGAATAATGAAGGTAACTGTTTATTGAATGAAATGTTCACTTATATATATATCCGGAAAATGAAATTAATTTTTTTTCTGATCGTTATTAACTTCTAAATGTGAAGGAGTTTTATCACAAATCTACTTCGAGACCCAAGATTTTTGGTATGACTGCTTCCCCTATCATTAGAAAAGGTATAATCGAACTTCTTTCGTGACACTTTTGCTTTTGTCGATTTTTTTTTTTGCGTAATCGTAAATTTCCGTGTTCATTAGGCGTCTCATCCACGAAAGAATCCAAGGAGCAGTTTGAGGAGCTTGAAAGCCTATTGGATTCCCAGGTATTTTTTCCGAACTTTATAGACTCGAGTTCGAAATTTTGCATTGTAAATCAGTATGCGTTTATTAATTCTATACATAATTTTTTTAATGTGTTTACACGTTTACACAGATTTATATAGTAGAGGACAGGATCAATCTCGAAGAATACATCCCCTCAGCGAAGCCAATATGCAGATTTTACGACCCAGCCCAAATTCCGTATGTGGAGATCAAAGCAAAATTAGAATGTTCTTGGTCGAAGGTGATTTTTTTATATAACTATTAATCTATTATGATTTGGCAATGAAAAAAATCCTATGACTAAGTTAAAATATCGAGTTTCATTATGGGTAATTTGGTCAAAATACAGTTTGATGCTATTTTGCTTGGCTTCCAAGATTCACTGTCGAGTGGGTACAAAGACACGGACGATAAATTTAAGTCTCTGCGGAATAGATTGGCCAACGACCATACGAAAATTTTGTTCAGCCTTGAAAATCTCGGACTTCTTTGTGCCTATATATATATATATATATATATATATATATACATATATATATATATATATTGTTATTTGTTCCATTCTAATGCAATCAGCTTTACTAAGTTGCTGATTTATTGAATTTATCTACCGTTGCAGAATGAATTTTTTTTAGTTTTTTTTTTAAATTAATTATTTAATTAATATATATATTTTTAATTTTTTTAGGCTGTTAAAGTTTGTATAGAGACGACTCCCGAGGTTCGAGAGGAATGTGAGGTCTATAAGGAAAGCGTAGTGCAATATAAAAATTTTCTTCAGGAGGTTCTGTCAATAATCGAAGGATCTGAGGGTAAGTATATTTTTTTATTTTTTTTATTATTTTATTTAAGTTTCTACTCACATTAAATCTTACTCGTTTCTACTCGTATTGTCTTTACAGAGCATAAGAAACTTCTAAATGTTGTAAATGGTGGAGAAGAAGCAATGACGACGGGCCAAATATCTCCAAAGCTACACGAGCTGCTTGAAATTTTCCGATCATTTGGGTAACGAGCCAAATAAACTAATTTCCTAATAAATATTTACCGTTATTTTAATTTTTCCGAGTATTTCTTTATTTAATATATTTTTTTAAATTTGTGGCAACAGGAATGATAAAGATGTTCTTTGTATCATATTTGTCGAGCGAATAATGACTGCCAAAGTAATCGAGAGAGTAATGTGTAAAATTACCGATTTATCCCATTTTAACGTATCGTATTTGACCGGAAGTAACTCATCAACTGGTGGACTTTCTCCGGAAGCACAGAAGAAGGTTCTGGAATCATTTCGTGCTGGCAAGGTAATAAGTATTCTTTTATCTTTTTTTTTTTCATTTTTTATTTTATGGTAACTCGACATAAAAATATTAATTTCTTTTTTCCATGATTGATGAGTGAGATATTTATTATAGGTCAATCTTTTATTTTCTACGGATGTGGTTGAGGAGGGAATTGATGTGGCCAAATGCTCGTGCGTGATTCGATTCGATTTACCGAAAACTGTTCGTAGTTATATTCAATCAAGGGGGCGAGCTCGGCACAAAGATTCCGAGTACATCATCATGCTTGAGAGGTAAAGATTATTTCCGATTCTGGTAAAAGAATTTCTTCAGTATGATTTCCGAAAGTTCCAATTCTGATTTTCCTGCACTTTTTGGCATGGAATTGGAATACATATTAGATTCTGAATTCCGATCTGGTTTTAATTTCCGAAAATTCTGATATTTGTTTTCCCGAAAATTACACATTAAATATCAATAATTATTATGTATTTTATATTATATAGGAAACAAGAAATTGGAAATTTCGAAATTTGCCGATAAAATTTTTGATTTTGGAAAAATATTCCTCATTCTGAATTCCGAAAGTTCCGATTCCGATTTTTTCGAACTTGTTGCAACGGAATTGGAATACATATTAGATTTCTAATTCCGATCTGTTTTTAATTTCCGAAAATATTTTTTGTTTTGTATTTTTTGAAATCAAATCATGTTACAAATTGGGGAAGTATGGGAGGGCATGATTCAAACCCTAGACATCTACTCTAATATAGTGGCTAAAAAAATCAAATTCCGAAATCCGCCGATTTCAATCCGGAAATTTCCAATTTTGGCACAAGTTTTTTCATTCTGATTTCTGATTTCCGATTTTCCAATTTTTTTTAGAACGAAATTGAATTAGTTTTCTCACTTCCCAAAAAAAGTTCTGGATTTTCGACAAACTAAAAAGAAATTCTTGACATTTTTTTTCAGAGGAAATGCAAAGCAAATAGATGATATGTTCTACATTACAAGGAGCGAAAATTCCATGACACAAACAGCCATGAATCGAAACCCCGACGATTGCTCGATAAAAGCTTGCATCACAAAAGAAGAACACGTATACGTTGTCGGGTCCACTGGTGCATCAGTTACTGCAGATTCAAGTGTCAGCCTTATACACAGATATTGTCAAAAACTCCCCGGAGACAAGTAAATATATGTCTTTTTTTTCCTTTCTCGTTTCGAATCATGTTTTTCCATGTTAGATTATTAGTCCGCTTTAAAATATTCAGGTACTTTACTCCGAAGCCGAAATTTGTGGACTTGGTGGATGGGGGCTTATATAGATGTAGACTAATCCTACCTCCAAACGCACCTTTTCAAACAAACATTGGTCCTTTAGCTCAAAACCGTCATATAGCTAAACAACTCGTTTGTTTGGATGCGTGTAAGAAATTGCATGAAATGGGAGCTCTTAGTGATAATCTTCTTCCTATTTGTGACGAGTCTTCGAAGAAGAATACTTGTGATAGCAAAGCTTTAACTTCCGGGGCAGGTACACATAATTTATCCCCACTTTTCCTTTTTATTTATTTATTATTTATTTTTAATTTTTAGTTTTTAATTTTTAATTTTTTAATGTTGTGATGCTTATAGGAACAACAAAGAGAAAGGAGTTGCATGGTTCAATCAAGATCCATTTGTTGTCCGGAAGTTTGGGAGATAAACTTGACAGCACATCATTTCATGCATATAAAATGGACTTCTCGTGTAATATTGCCGAACAAAAATACTCCAGTTTTGTACTTTTACTGGATGCTAAGCTAGCTGATGACGTGGGGAATATCGAAGTGGAACTATATTTGTTAACAAAGTTTGTTAAAGCTTCTGTTTCGTTTTGTGACCAAATATGTCTCGATTCCAACCAGGTATAGTCACTAATCACACTCAATAATTATTATATTTTTGGCCTCTGATATATATATATACATGACAATTTCCTCTCTCAACACTCGACAGGTTCACGCGCA